TTGATGTTCGTTCGAACGTGTTGCTGGACATTAAAAAAAAAAAAAAAAAAAAAAAAACACTTTCCCCTGTAAAGAATTGATTCCTACGTATATAAAAATAAGAAGAAGAAGAAGAAGCAGAAGAAAAAGAAGAAAGAGACATCTGAAAAAGGTAATTAAACGTTGTTAATAAGGCTCGTCTAAACAGAAGCACACGCGGCTAACTTTGTGCGAAAGTTTTACACAAGGAAGCTCGGTCAGGGGGGGAAATGAAACGTGATTCACCGTTTAATTCACGGAATTAAGCCGAGATTAATTGCTTCTTTAGCTCGTAGAGCGCGTTAAGCCTCGGAAAATGTCCGAAACGACGGGCAGAAAATGTCAGGCTGTCAATTAGCGGAATGATAATGTTGCACGAAAGGCGAGACCTCGGGTCGTTCCTGACCCGCGACAACCTATAAATGTCAATCGTGATACTTATCTGTTGCCTGCGAGAACGTGGCAATTTTCAAATGTAAAAATCAATTCATCACTCGCTCGTGAGTTTTGAATCGTCGTTTAAATGATAAATCTGTACGATGTTTTTTCCATCTTCCTTTCACCCTTTTTTAATGAACACGACACTTGAACTTTGATATTCATTGTATATTTTCGAAATTTTTATTATTCCATTTGAATGTCGATGGAGAAAGATGGAAAGTTCTTGCGATAGTTCAATTTAAAAATCCAAATTTGTATAGATTTTTCTAGCCTTCTCTCTCCCATCTCGCAAATTCTTCTCTCTTCTCTATATAAATAACGTTTTTCAATGAGGAAATTTGCTCGAGGAGTGTTACACCGATGTTCTAGTTTCATCTTGAAGCTAAAAAAAACTTTTCTCGAGATGTTTCTTTATTTTCTTTTTTTTTTTTCTTTTTTTCTTTTTCGAACGAACAAAAGGCTCGTACGAGTCGTAAGCACGAAAAGAGGAAAGGGAAGAGTGACGTTACACGCTCGCGTTACATCATGACATTTTAATCCCAACTTGAATCACAAGCTAACTTTCTACTTCGCTATAAAAAGTGACTCGAAACAGACTAGCTTTTATTACGGCATTTCGCTATAAAAAGTGTCGCGAGAGATCGACTAGACCCTAAATCGCTAAAGAGTCATTTGTCAAGTGTTTCTTATTTTACACCATTCTCCATTGTACAACACTAATCCCTCCCCGATCACAAATTCCATCTCGAAACGCTCGGAACTATCACTCGGTATCTTCTTTTCACATTGTCTTCTTTCCGCACGGTCGCTGAAAATTGAAAAACGGAGGGGAAGAAAGGGTGAGAAACAAATCGTCTTCTCGTGTCACCTCTCACTTGCAACACAGTATCGTCCCTCAACTCTGTGGTACTACGTCCAATCTTCCATCGCGTTACATTCTCACGATGATTCGTAGGATGATTCGTAGGATGATTCGTAGAATCTTCATCCCTCCGATTTGTTCACGCTCTCTCGCGATTCTCTTCCTCGCTTCTCAAGTAAAGATATACCCAAAATACTTGCTAAAGCAATTCGCAACGAGTCATCCTCGTTCGACGATGAGAAACTTCACGATTAACTGAAACTGTCGTCAACGATCGGTTGCACTTGAAAAGAAGAGAAGCGACGTTTAATTCTTGATACAAGGTACGTTCATTCCCAATTTTTTTTTTTTTTTTCTCGCCCCCGACAAAAATTTGTCAGTCCTCCCCTCGAGTCGAGTCGAGTCCACGTTCCCGGTACGCAACGCCTGCATTTAATGCGTTTAGGTGAAACAGGCTCTCCTCTGTGAAAGAGCAACATTATCCTTGCACCGTTTCGTTTCAGCGATGTTGGCGTTGAACAGCTTGTCCGTGTTGCGGCTGATGAGACAGGCTGACCGAGTGGCGATACGTGATCTGATGAAAATTCGTCGGCGAGCCAGCACGCCTGGAGACGTGAATGTTGCCAGTCCGCGTCGGCGATGGCGTCTCGTCGCCGAGGACGTCGATTTCATCGTCGTCGGAGTCTACCGGCGCGTCGCTGCTCGCCCGTGATTCTCGCCCGCCGCTCAGAGAGAAGTCCACCGGCCGTTCTGAAAACAGTTTCATCGCAAACCAGCTGGTTACTTATCATTGTAGGGGAAAAGGGACTTGATAGTTTCTTGTGCGAGTGTTTCTCTCGTGTTCTATCATTCTGTTGTAGATTTCCCTACGTTTCTAACACTTCTAGAGTTTTAAACTCGTAGACTTTTTTTTTTTAAGTCCCTAGGTTTTCATATTTCTATGTCTTCAAATATGTAAATTTCCAGGTCTCTAAGTCTGCGTCGAAATCCATGTACCTGTATATTTGTACATTTTAAGTCTGTAGGCTTTTTTTGCTAGATTCCTAGGTTTTCTAAATTTTCTTTAACTTGCAGAGTTTAGATTTCTATGTTTCTTTATCTACTTAGGTATATTTTTATATTTTTATACTTTTAACTTTACCTTTTAATTTAACTATACTCGAACTTAACTTAATAATTCCTAGTGTTTCTATAGTTTTAGGTGTGTAGATCCCTAAGTTTCTATATTTTTGATATCTGTAGATCTTTAGATTGCTAGATTTCTATATTTCTCTTTAAACTTGTGGAGCTTTAGGTCCTTAGGTTTTTATATTTCTATATTTTTAAGTCTGTAAATTCTTAGATCTCTAACTCTTTACATTTTTGCAAGACGTTCTTTACACTTTTAAGTCTATAGGTCTCTATTTTTTTTTATCTGTATCTAATTTTTTATATTAATAGATTTCTAGATTTTCTGGATCTCTATTTTTACAACCTTTAAGTTTCTAAGTTTGTATATTTCTACGCTTAGGTCTTCATTTTTATAGATATTTTCAGGCCAGTAGATCTCTAAAATTTCCATGTTTCTGTATTTCTAGAATACATAGATCCGAGGACCTTGGAAATTTCTATATCTGCATTTAAGACTGCAGATTCTTGGTTTGTGAATCTTTAGATCTCTATATATATGTAGATCTCTAGGTCTCAGAGTCTCTAGATCTCTACTTCCATCTATGTCCTATATTTCTATGTTTTGCATCTCTAACTTTTGTATTCTTCTTCTTCTTCTTCTATCTTATCTTTTTTTTTTTTTTTTTGAGAATTTTCTCTGAAAGTTTATTCGCACAGTTCCTTATGGTCGTTATTGAGTTCAACGTAATCGCTAATAACGAATCGATGTCCATCCTACTCCCGTTTTTGTATAATAATTGCTACCTAAATTCTTGTAGAAGGGGTTAATCCAAATTCAACTTCGTCTCAGTTACAGATAGAACGAAACATCATGAAGGTGCTCGGTTGGAGAAATAAGCATGATAAATGGAAAGTTAACGATTTCAACGAGTGGTTAACGTATTGATGGAAAACAGTGTAAACACAGTTCAGAGCGAGAGAAATTCGACCACAGTAAGTCGGAATATTCACCGTGAGTTCTACGTCAAAATTGTAGATATTCGTCCGGAATTTACTAGTTCTACAAATAGAATCGACAACTTTAAATTAAATCGAAATCGTTAAATATCTGCAAAGTCGTGAACATCAAGATGCGGTATAGAAATTCGACATCGTTTCGACGAAAGGAAAAGACATTCTTCTTTTATCTATTTCAAAAGTATTCAACAGCATTCAATTATTTATTTATATAATACTAAATCCAACGAGTTACTAAATAGAATATTTTTCTGCGAAATATTTTAGGTTTACATTCCAAAATCTCCACAAAACTTTTCATCTTCTAATTTCTCTTTGCCATCTATAAAAAAAGGGAAAGAGAGAGAGAGAAGTCTGCAAGATACGAATTTTGTAACATCAATCCTTCACAATTCGAAAACCTACATAGCCGACAGACACCAAATATCAAATCGTACGGAAACGGAGAGGAAGCGTAACAAGATAAAGGAAATAACTGTAGGAGGCGTCTTCTTTGGTTCTTATCTCGGTGGTCAGAAGATCGACTGATCAAATTGGGTCAGATATGTGCCGGTACACAACTGCAAGGTCCTCAAGGTAGCAGCACCCTCGGTCGTGGGCAATCGTGAATGTAGGTCTGGCCAAGCACTTAGCCGATAATTGACTAATTTTCTCGAAGACCGAATCGAGAAGACAAGAGGTAAGAACGGGGTCCGTGAGACGTTCAGAGCAACGGAGAGACACGAGCTGAGAAAGTGACAGACAGATAGATAGATAGATAGAAAGAAAGAAAGAGAAAGAGAGAGAGGGGTGGGCGAATGGAGAGAGAGAGAGAGGAGAGAAAGGGAAATTGGTATAGGGGTATCGTAACTCTGCAGTGGGTTCCTTAGACGGTATCCGCTGGAGCCTCTAGACGACAAGGCGGTCTCATCTTCTACGTGCTTTCCACCCCTTACAACCCCCTTCTTCCTGGCTGCCAAGGAGACGTCTACTAACTTCGTTAGCCCTTCCTACCGAACGAAGCCATCTTGGCTACCGAGACGAGCAACTTGCCGAAGGTTATGAGTAGATGCGGTGTAAGTCGCATTGGGGGTGAGTCCGGATCCCTCTCCGCCCCTCTCCAGCTCTAGAAAGCGATCGTTTCGCGGAGACGCGAGACGTTGTTGGAAAAATATACCATTTTATATCGTATACATAATGTAGTGTACCATATATTTTCTATTTTAATATAATATAACAATGTAACACCATTTAATATAATATAACAATATAACACCTATTTTATATCGTGTACATAATCTAGTGTACCATATATTCTATTTTAATATAATATGACATATATTAACGTTACACACTATATTATGTGTTATACTCCATATTTCGTATAATGTAACATGTACCAAATATGTACAATCTGTCATATCATACGTTGCACAAATATTGTGTTAAACTGTACAGTAGAAAATATGTTATATTATATTGTATATTATTTATTGCAAACTACATCATGTTCTTTATTTTATCACATATGTTTTGATATAATGTAACATATGTACAACTTGTTATATTATATTATGTTATACTTATTATATTTAATATATTGTATATTATTTATTATAAAATGTATTATATTTTTTGTTTCATCAGAGTTCAGAGATCATACTTTGCCTCTTCATTAGACGCATAATTTAAGAGTTATTTCAGGTGTGCAAGTTACGTGCCATCACCCATGTATGTATATGTTTAATACCGCATGCAGCTTATCATTTTAGAATTTGTAATTATATTACAGTTGGAATATTAATTTCGTGCATTTATTTTTTTTTCTTCTTTCAGCGATTTGGGGACGAGGTTTATCCAAAAAGGAGTAACCGAAATGAAGCAGCATGTATTTCCGTTTGTGAACATGAACGTTACAGCTTTAAATCGATTCACGCGAGCAATCCGATTTAATTATTCCCAGATCACGGCATTTACTACATTATAATAGCGTCGATCGTGCACCATTGTGTGTGCACAAAGCGGTACAGTTATCGGGAATTATTGCCCGATCTATTTGAACGCTGTTGTTTCGTCTTCTACGTTGTTTACGGCATTGCAATCCACAGTGAGAAATACTTATGCAATGCGGACAGTTTTCCATGCAAACAAGATTTTTCTTTTTTTTTTCTTTTCTTTTTTTTATTCGAACAATTCGAAATCACATATTTTGTTCACACGTGCTTTAAAATAATCATTTGTTTTTTTCTCTTTTTAGGTTTGAACGTTCGAATTTCGATTTATTTATCGTAAATGGAAATAATACTCGGAATACTTTATGTCATCGTTTATAATATATATGTTATTCGTCGGAAGGATGTGAAAATAAAATAAAGGTAACATACAATGACAAAAGTAGCAGACTTATAGATTTTGCGGATTCGTACAAAAATTCGATATTCGAATAAAATTATAAATAAATATATAACAATATAGCAATAATATGAAAAAAATATAGAACGCACCTGGAAGAAAAATATTTTCGATCAAACGCAAGCATTTGAAAAGCATTTAATCTCTTACGCACGTCGTTTTGCTCCAAAATTATAATATTTTCTCAGTTTTAAGTATATTGAGATATAATCCAGACGAAATAAATAATAAATTTATTACTTCTGAGTAATTTCTATCCAGCGATATCGTACCGACGAGTTCAAAAGAAAAAGAAAGCGACAAAATTATTGAATACGGTTCGGTCACTCGTTATGGTCCGCAGTTGCCAGCGCTTATCTCTTGCGCTGGAATAACATGCCGCGCACGTCGAGAATGTTTTGTTCTAAAATTATAATATTTTCTCAGTTTTAAGTATATTTATATATTCTTAGTTGAAGTATATTTATATATTCAAGTAAAAGTATTAAGTATAATTATATATTTAAAACAAAACAGAAACAAAATAGGCAAAACAAATAATAAATTTGTTACTTCTCAATAATTTCTGTCCAGTGATGTCATACTGACAAGTTCAAAGGCAAAACGACGAATTATTTTATACGGTGTTGGTCACTCGTTATGGTCCGCAATCAGTTGCCAGTGTTTAAAAACATTTAATAAATCGTTTAGGCAGAAAATATTGTTTCGTGTATTAAAAAGAAAAAACATCAGAATTAGTGCTTTACATACACGAAGGATTTCATTTTCGCTTTTAAATACGTTCAAATACTCTGTGTCTGACGAGAAAATCTCTTTGTTAGAAGTAGTTTGAAAACTACTTATAAAAATTACACATTATATTATTGCTACTCATTGTTAAAGGTAGTTTGAAAGCTACTTATAAAAATTATATATTATATTATTACTGTAATTACTGTATTACTATATTATTATATATTATATTATATTATTATCATATTATTATTATATATATTATATTATATTATTATTATATATATTATATTATTACTATAATTACTGTATTACTATATTATTATTGTAATTACATATAAATTATATATTATAGAATATCCAAAGTTACAACAGTATGTACAACAAATGGAGCAATTCTCTGCGCGGGTCTCTACTTACAAAATTCACGTCGCGATGAAAATGCCAAAAAAAAAAAAAAAAAATTGCATAACTTTACGTGAAATTTTTAATCATCACGTAATAAACGAAAGTCTCGAACGCCAACTTACAGGAAAGGATAACACCGAGTTAAACGGGAGGGAGGGACGGGAATATGAATTGCGGGAAATTGTACGGCAAAAAGCGATCATTATCCATGCAACGGTAGTTAATCATTATAGTTGCTGCGACCTCGGTTACGGTCTGGTTAGTTAACTAAAGTTGCGTAATTTATTGCCAGCCGAATTTTGGTTGCATTATATGGTCCATTAGCATGATGACAGGGAACTATTTGACGTACACGGAAATTCCGGCACGCTGTCCGCCCGCTCGAATGCAAATTGATAATCACAATTATGAAGTTTATACTAATAACGATTTAATTGCGATACACATAGGCCACCGTCTACTTTCAGCCGCGAACTGTCTACTTTTCCGCTGGTCGAACGACGAAGATCAATTACAAACCGGCGCCAAATCGTTCCCTGTTCCCGAACTGTACAAAATAATTCCTACACTTTTTCGTTTCAACGCTTTTCCTGTTAGAAAATGCGAACTGAACGTTTCTTGTTTATAGAAATATTTGCCAGATAAAATCTAGAATTTCTACTCCAGTTTCTGATCTAAATAGTTTCTAGTTTGCTTGATAAAAAGTATACATATTATACATATTATACACATATTATATTATACTATACAATATAATATAATATAATATATACATATTATATTATACTATACAAGTATACATATTATATTATACTATATCTAAAAAGTATATTATATTATACTGTATCTAGAAAGTATATTATATTATACTATATCTAAAAAGTATATTATATTATATTATACTGTATCTAGAAAGTATATTATATTATACTATATCTAAAAAGTATATTATATTATATTATACTGTATCTAGAAAGTATATTATATTATACTATATCTAAAAAGTATATTATATTATATTATACTGTATCTAGAAAGTATATTATATTATACTATATCTAAAAAGTATATTATATTATATTATACTGTATCTAGAAAGTATATTATATTATATTATACTATATCTAAAAAGAATCCAGGAGAGAATGTGATTCTATTTTTCATATTTTACACGTTTCTGCACGTGAACCTGTACTAAATGCATTTCTGAGTAATTATTATCTTACGTATGTATTACATATTTATGTAGTCACAGGTAATTACATATTCACGTGTATTCTATGAATTTTCAACTAATTGCAAGTAATGATTATTCTTCTGACGTTGGAATGACGAATTTTTTCTTTTTTTTTCTTTTGTTTTAAAAAAAAGAGGATACTGCGAGAATTTCTAATTTGCTTAATAAAGGTGAAAAAGTAAAATCCAGAAGAGAATGTGATTCCTCGTCATTTTACACGTTACGTGTACTATTTGCATTTCTGAATAATTATAAGTAATTAGCATCTTACGTGTGTATTACATATTTATGTTTATCATATGAATTTTGAAATAATTACAAGTAATTGCACATCACTTTCTATTCTATTACAAGTAACGATTCTTTCGCTGACAGTGAAACGATTTGAAAAAAAAAAAAAGGATTTCTAGTTTGCTCTTGTTTTTTATCAATTAGCCCTAAATCATTGATAGCAGAGACGACGAGAAAACGAAACTTTAATCACCGTGATGCACGATAATTTTTCCGTGCGCGATATCGAACTTTCCAGTGTGTCTTTTTTTTTCTTTTTTTCTTTCTTTCGTTTCTTCTCCGCGCAGAATTTCAGATATATGATTTATGAGCAATTGATTATGTAGGACACATCGTGTTGTTAATCCGAGCTAATTGATGCGCGAAGCAACGCGGGCGGGCGCGTGTTTATCGAAAAGTCGATACATGTGTTTAGCGGTAATTACGCATTGTTAGGCGGATACGAAATTGCATACGGGGGGGAGGGGAATCCTGCAATTGCAATTAAACGCTTGCATTAGCTCACGGCGATGCGTGAAAATTTTAAGCGTCATCGAGTTTATAATAGGATGCTAACTTTCCATTTTATCAGCAATACACAACTTCCCCTAAAGTCACGATAACGTCTGTTTCGTCTATACTGATCACCACCAGTCTCTCCCCCCCTCTTCCGAGTCTTAGTTACCATTATGAATTCATTACGAAACTTTCGCACCACCGCTCTTTCGTTTACTTTCACCGTGCTTGCCTATTACGAATAAAATCGTCGACACCTCGCGATCTGCAGATTTTAAGAAAAGGAACACTTAGAGTTACTTGTGTTGGAGTGTTTCAGAGCGATACTACGTTTGCTATGTCGAATTGAAATTAAAATACATATCAAAATACAGCGATGATCATAATCATCTACCACCAACGATGATTAATTCTAACTTCGTTAAAAAGAAAAAGCAAACGACAAATTCGATCCTGTTTTGAATCGTGAGGCTTCTGTTTCGACAGTTTTGTATTTCGACAGGCTCGTTTTCAAAAATGTTTTTTTAAAGTGAGTTGTAAAAATTCGAGCGTCTCCACGAGCATTGACAAATTTTTTTTTCGCAACTGAATGTCTAAAACCATGATCTTGAAGCTTCAAGTCTACAAGGAGCCCTTGTGAAACTTATGCGATTTTTTTTTTTTTTTCATCATTGGAGTTGTTTAATCTTCAAGATCACGATCGTGAAAGAAATTTCAGTGTACAGTAATACAGTTTTTTTACTATCTGTAAATATCACTTATAATTTTGTCCATAAATTTTTAAAATTATATTATACATATTTATGTAGTAATATATTTGTACTCTTCACTGAAGCTGATGAATCTCATTTCTTTCTTCGTTTTAAGATCTACTTATAATTTTATCCATAAATTTTTAAAATTGTATTATTATACATATTTATGTAGTAATATATTTATACTCTTCACTGAAGTTGATGAATCTCATTTGCATCACTTCTCTGTGACTTCTTTCTACGTTTTAAGATCTACTTATAATTTTATCTATAAATTTCTAAAATTGTATTATTCTACATATTTATATAATAATATATTTATACTTTTCACTGAAGTTGATGAATCTTATTTGCATCACTTCTTTGTGACTTCTTTCTACGTTTTAAGATCCATTTACAATTTTATTCATAAATTTTTAAAATTGTATTATTCTATATATTTATGTAATAATATATTTATATATACTCTTCACTGAAGTTGATGAGTCTCATGTGACTATTTCAACATCTATTTATAATTTTACCCATAAAATATAAATATAAATATAATAAATATATAATGTATAAACTCTTGAAATCGCCTCTATTGCATACGTTAACTGAATCTGCGAGCTCAATTCTTTCTAAATTCTGTCACGAATAAAGTGTAGTTCCTTTTATTTTAATTAAAGGGAAAGAATATGACTGGCTTACCGGCAGGTGAGGTGACAGATACGGATTGACCAGTGCATTGCTGATTAGAATTCTGATTGCCGTTGCTTCCCGCGCTGGTGTTCAATTTCCTCAATTGTTTCTTGTGTTTCATCCGCCGGTTTTGAAACCACGTTTTCACTTGGGTCTCCGAGAGGTGAAGCGCCGCCGCAAGCTCGACCCTCTCCGGCGTGCTCAGGTACCTCTGCACCTCGAATCTGGCTTCCAAACCCGCCAATTGTTGATCACTGAACACCTAAATATGGCAAATGATTTCTCGTAAATCCATCATTTTTCATCGCCTTGTTTAGCAGTCTTATTATAATACATTTCCTTTGGTCGTTAAAATATTCTGTGACGTTTCAATGAATTTTTTTCAACAGGAAATGAACACTGTGAATGTGATCAACTGTGATCAGTGGAACAAGAGGAAGATTGCTATAAGGGACTGCTATAATCTAGCAATTAACAATGACCGAAAAGAATTACCAACGATAACAAAGTAGACATAATGTCCTTTCTAGTTTAATAAAACTCAACGTGAGTCTTTTTATTAAAAAAAAAGACACTTGTGTCTTTTAAATAATTACAAAATCGACAGACACATAATCATTTTGATATTTCCAGTGTCGAAACAAGTGAACAGCGTGAATATGATCAGTGGAACAAGAGGAAGACAAAAATTGCTATAATCTAGCAATTAACAATGATCGAAAAGAATTACCAATGATAACAAAGTAGACATAATGTCCTTTCTAGTTTAATAAAACTCAACGTGAGTCTTTTTATTAAAAAAAAAGACACTTGTGTCTTTTAAATAATTACAAAATCGACAGACACATAATCATTTTGATATTTCCAGTGTCGAAACAAGTGAACAGCGTGAATATGATCAGTGGAACAAGAGGAAGACAAAAATTGCTATAATCTAGCAATTAACAATGATCGAAAAGAATTACCAATGATAACAAAGTAGACATAATGTCCTTTCTAGTTTAATAAAACTCAACGTGAGTCTTTTTATTAAAAAAAAAGACACTTGTGTCTTTTAAATAATTACAAAATCGACAGACACATAATCATTTTGATATTTC